GTCTTCTGCCTAAAAACGTAGAAATTAAAATACACGAGAGTATAATTTTGCCTGTTGTTCTGTATGGATGTGAAACTTGGTCTCATACTCTAAGGGAGGAACGTAGACTGAGGGTGTTTGAGAACAGGGTGTTGAGAATAATTTGGACCGAAGAGAGATGAAGTGACAGGAGGTTGAAGAAAACTACATAATGAGGAGCTTCATAACTTGTACTCTTCTCCAAGTATAATTAGAATGTTCGAGTCAAGGAGGATGAGGTGGGCAGGTCATGTAGCACGAATTGGGTAGAAGAGGAATGCATAAAGGATACTGGTAGGAAAGACAGAAGGAATGAGATCACTAGGAAGACCAAGACATAGGTGGGTGGACAATACTTAAATGGATTGCAGAAGAATAGGATAGGGTGGTATGGACAGGATAGGAAGCCGTGGAGGGTTCTTGTGAACACGGCAATGAACCTTCGGGTTCCATAAAATTTGGAAAATTCTTGAGTAGCTGCACATCTGGAGGCTTCTCAAGAAGAGCTCAGCTCCATGGAGTCAGTCAGTCAGTCAGTTTGTCCGATAGGCAATCAATTTAGAAGTACTTACTTAGCATCTGATATAGAGGAAATGCAACTGTTATACTAAATATCTTTACACCATTTTTCTATACTTCCGGCTTTACTGTCACAAGTGTGGGACCTAGTTTATGGCGATTAGAAAACTGCTTGTAAATTTGTAGTTTGTTTAACTAGACTGCCTAAGGTGAATACTTCATATAAACTTAAAAATTTTCCTTATGCTTAATTTAGTTAAGCACTATGCCATGAAGACATGCGCGGAAGTAGAGGTATAGCTCCACATTTCTTGACCTCGGCACTAGATAGAGGTGAGTGATCAGTTTCACGCCCCTGCCGCTTTACCCAGGGAAAAGAGCTTCCGGAACCAATTGGATAGGAGGTTCCAGGGTCGGTCTGAACTCTTTGCAGAAGAGGAAATCTCTTGCCCATAATGAGAATCGAATTCTTTCGTCAAGTTTGTAGTCTTAGTCGCTATACCGACTGAGCCAGCCCTACTCCTGTATCTTTATATATCTTGAACTAAATTTTGAATATCATGGACGGAAGAAAATATTTCCAGGTATCTGAATTGCGGAAACGGCCCTGTCCCCATATTTTAACCTGATATCTCCGGAAGAGCTATCGCCATACGGCTTCCCTTGTGGTTCTGGTGACTGTGAGCTGACTGCCCATGAATCTGGTTGAGGCCTCTCTCACAAGCTACTTCTCAGAGAGTGTGGGTGGGACCGACGTGCCGCTATCCAGCATATGACAGCTGGTTTTGATAACGCGCCTATACAGAGACAAAAGTGGACGAACCAAACGCGAGAGTTCTGCTGCAAGCATAGCGGTATGATAAAAGGTCAGTGTGGGGCTGCGTCAGTATATCTCGTGGGGATAAACTGTTATTTGCCTACATATCCGAACTTATTTTATTTACCTGCGTTTCATTTAATGACGCCATCAGTAGCTCAGATATATAGCGTCAAATGATGAATCGGAAAGGATATGGAAGGACGCGGTCAAGCCTTAATCTGAGATGCTATTCCGGAAATTTCCTCGAGGGCCTGAGGAAAACCAAAACATTTTTAGTCTGTGTTATCGGCGTCTCGGGCGGTATTCGAACTGGAACCTTCGGAACACAAGTTAGGAACGTTACCGCTTGAGCCACCTTTGCTTTCTACTTATCTTTCCACTGCAGATGTGTGAGCTTATAGTCTGTCTTCCGACAAGCCTTCCTATCTCCTCTCGCCTCTCTTGCGGGGTAGAGGTCACCTTACGCGATAAGACCCGCAGACGCGACATCCTTCACCCACCCCCCATTGATAGGTCAGTACACTTATATACACTCTACTGTATCGCTGGCTTCTGGTTTCTGAAATGTAACCATCGAACTGTGAACATCAATTCAGGTAGTTCAGCATCTGGGAAATAACTTTGTCGACCGCTTCTAGGCTCTGCGCTTCACGGCGACCGGTGCGCTGTTTGCCGCGAGGTGCTTACGAATTTTGCCGATGAATCAGCATGCCTGATGGCCGATAACGTTTGTATTGAAGGGAAGTAATTTACTTTTGGACCGCTTGACGGTATTATGTTTCACGGCTAGCAGTGCGGTTCCTGCTTGGGAGTTTGTTTATAATTTTTCAGCAGTAGGCAGCACTTACCAGAACCATTAAGACACATGTTCTCATTACAGTTAGTGAACAATGTGGCAAGTCATGGTGCAGTACTCTTCAAGAGCAACGTGTATTTCTGTATAACACGGATCTGCTGGAAAGTGTCGGCGAAAATAACGCCGTAAATTTCGTGGTAAAAGAGTTCTCAGTAGACAAGCAATTCATAATCTGGTGAACAATCTTAGAACAACGAGACTCCTAATAGACGAGAAACAAAAACATAAGCGCCTAGTGCTTGCTGAGAGGCAGTTAGATGGCATAGGGACCAGACTTGATCGTACACAGTGTGTCCAGGTTCTGTTAGGACTGTATTCTAGACTCACGTTTTCTTCACCTTGGCACTAGTTGGAGGTGAGTGGTCAGCTTCACGCCCCGGCCGCTTTACCCCTTGGGAAAGAGCCCCAGGTACCCATTGGATAGGAGACTGCGTGGGCCCCAGAGTTGGCTGGGATGACATGGAGAAGTGAAAATTCTTGCCCCCATCAGGACTCAAACCCTAACTCCTTGGTTGTCCAGGCTGTAGCCAGTCACTATACCAACTGAGCTACCCAAACTCAAAATGTAAATTAGGAATTATATAAACATAATTCCTGTGACTCAGGAGAAGAAGCACATTTCATTGGCTATCTTCTGGGGTGCAGCACTTATGAGAATTTCTTTTACACTCTCACAAAGCCACACCAGCCCTGCTACTGATGGGGCAAAGAACTCAAAAACAGTATCTTCTATCTGTTCTGTTCCCTTTTATGGTGTATAAATCTCAGTAGAGAAAAGAAGGAATGCCGTAGATGTGAAATGGAAATTAAGACTGCTGAAATTTATTATTCTCTACAGTTGGTATTCAGTGCTGTTTCCTTCAAAATTATCTGTGAACTTTCATAAAATTATGATAGCTGAGGGAGCTGCTGAAGAGTTTGTGAAGAGAATATGTTTCTGGAAGTTCAGTTACCAAGATATTTTAGAGCCAGATATATTGCAATTACGTATTTCTCCCTTAAGTTATGGAATACACCTTATGATTAGTTTCAAAAAGAAGTTCCTTGCCGTTATTGTATCTGTAGAAAGCACTACCAGAATCTCCATTTAGGAATTTGGAATCATCAGTATAGATTTGTATTAATTTATTGGTTCTGTTCCATATTTGTTACTGTTTAAGCTAAAGGGCTTTAGTAGGTTAGGATTATAAAAGAGGTTTTCTTTTTTCACCTATAGAAATATTTATATTGAAAACTTTTTGTGTACTCTCAGACGCTGATAAGAGTTATGTGATATGTTTTCTGCAACATTTAAATGTATATTTTCCTCATATACGATATACACAGTTAATTGTTTGTTTATTCCAGCTGTTTTCAGTTTTGCAAAATTTTACAATGTTCTCTGATGCTTAATGTCTGTTCTCTTTATAATGATGATTGTTGTATTTTGTGCCCACTGCATGCATAAGCAAATTAGAGTGTCTCATATTCAGCCAAATTTCCAAGAGACACTGGACGGGAGTGATATAACCACTAAGGAAAGGAATTATACAGGCTAGCAGTAGCACCCAAGGGGGTTTCCTGCCTCAAGGCAAAGTGCTTCTCTGGTGTTTGATGACAGATCTAGGTGGAACCAGGTAGGGGCTAAGCTGTCCCTGTATTTGGCATAAGATGACTGAACTGTGCTTGCCATCGGTGCTCCAAGGGGGGAGCTTTTTCTTCATGCTTTGGAGGGCTTGGTCATATGCTGTCATGGAGAGGCAGTCAGAATTTCTTGGGGGATCTGATGTAGGATCCACTGAGGGTAAGACTGTATGAGGCCCCTTCCTAGGGGTGAGTAACCTGACTACCAAGGAGAACTGAAGAGATTAATGAAGTAGTGGGCCAGGTAGATGAATGAACTTCTCAGAGTAACTGAAGCTGCAATCGGAGCTTGGTTGCAGGTCCAGGTGGACCACCACTAGGGGATCAGCTTCTATCCCTGTCAATCGATGAAGGTCGGTGGTCATAGAAATTTTACTGTTAGTAATACAGGAGATGATTCACCTCCTGCATTGGAGAATTTAACTGTTTGGTCCTCTGCTGCTGTGAAGAGCAAGACAAAAATCTCTCAGGGGCTCTGGAAAGGGATCCATGAGGATAAAACTGAATGTCTGCTGATAGGGACAGGGTGGTTGTGAGTAGCTTATCAAAAAGATGAAATGGAACAGCCAGTAGAAGCAGATGACTAGAAAAGGGAAGACACTTCTCCTGGAAACAGGGTTCAGCTGAAGTTTAATTGTGAGTCCAGCTGGGACCAATGGTGGGGCTCAGCTGCCCCTGTCAGTGAATGACAGGGTGGCTGTCATACCCTGCTGTCAGTATTCAAAAAGAGGAGGACACTATGTCAATGCTGTATTTGGTTTGGCCTAGACTGGAGATTGTCGAATCAGCATAGATAAAACTAATGGGCATTATAAGGACTTCAGTCTCTAGGGTTTTGCCTCTAGCAGCACCGGGACTTGGCCCTTTACCTGAAGGCGTGGTGCTTAATTAAGCACAGGAGCAACTTTACTTTTACCTTATTGGTTCCATCACGGAAGATTTTTACTTCGACACCATCAATATTACTAAAAAGTCATGTCTTCAAATTCCACAAATCTGTTTACATTTATACAGAGTAGACACATTTTACCGATCATAATTATTTGACTAAATGGAGTAATCACGCGGACCAGATCGAGAGAGACAGATATAATGCACACAAATTACTATGCCCTTTGACTTTTGAATTTTTGAAAAACTGAACAAACATGTACGTTCGAAAAAGCTTAGAAGGCGTAGATGGCCTTGACAGCATTAAATATGGCGGTGTTTGTTTTTATGATTTTGGTTGTCTGTACGCTGGTGTCACGATTTCTGTGTATGTATAGATTTGCCGTACATGAATTGTTGCAACGAATGTAGATGCAGTTGTGTTGTAATAACCTGTTGGATTGATGTGGGAAATTGCATATGTCATAATACCTAACCTCAAGATCGTCTAACATTGAAAGTACCAGCTTATGGTATATTACCCAAATGAAGAAGGTTTAACGTTACTTTTATTTTCTATTTCCAGGCCTGGAACATCATACTGAGCAAGAATATGGGTTACAATTTTCTTCCACACATTTTTCATCAGGGCCGTCTATTGTATTGAGGAAAGGTGATACATTAAACCTAACCTGTAAAATAACATCAGCAAGCAATAATTCAGTACCAAGGTTTCAAATAACAATTCACACACCATATCATTCCCAAAACAGGTATGTACAATCTTGAGTATTCATAATGAAAGTATTATTTTTTATGTGTAAAGTATATCAAATGGGGATCATCTTTATATTACCAGAAGTCAGAGTAGAGTCTACTGAAAATGTGAGAGAAGATGCACTGTTTTGGGTTGTGTATGTTTAATCAGTTGTGAGGTGTTGGTGGAATGGTCAAGTGGTTGGTAAATCAGAACCAAGGCATCAGTTAGTAGAGACCATAGATAAAGCCACTGTTAGCATCAGAAACTGGGACACACACAACATTAACAATGATTGGTCAGCATGCAGACAATCTAATGATGGGCATGTCTAACATGTGTTTTAATAATATGGAAACTTAATCACAGTAAGGGTTTAAAATCATAATGAGGGCGAATTGAAAGGATGTTTTCTATTCATTGCTACACCAAGTGAGTACTTAATAATGGTGTAAAATTGACATGTAGTTTGTTGGACACTTTTTGTGCAAGATGATCTGTAGAACATGTTTCTGTAGTTTGGCCAATATGTTGCAGAACACTGTATGTCATGAATCAACTGATGCAATAGGATGCCCAAAAACTGTATTGTGATGTTAATTATGAACTGTAAGTCATTTGATGAATCTAGTAAGGAGATCATTCAAGTAATTTTGGAACTAGTCAGTTTCTTGATGCAGAATAATAATAATACTTGCATCAGCAAAGATTTCAGGTTTGGATGCAGAATTGATGATTAAGTCCAAATCATTGATCTGAAAGAAACAGAGGTCCTCCAAGTGTTGATCCTTGTGGGAATCAATATTTTGCCATATGTCATTGTTATAATTTGAATTAAGGGATTTATTTCTGTTCTCTGTCATTACAATATGATTTAGACCACTCTCTCTCTGTAACTTGAATCCTCTGGAAGCTAGTTTTAATAGAAACAAATCATTGTCAACACAGTCACACACAAATGCTTTACCAGGGTCAGGTCAAAAGTTATTCCACCTAAATGCTTCTTGTTATTGAGGGCACATAAACTTCACAACTGATTATTTATATAAGGTGTTATCCATTGTGAGATCCTTCAGAAATCTGAATTGGTTTTCTTATATAATCACTTATTGTCATATATGCAGAGAGATTGAAAAGTCGTGCACATCAGACTAAAAGTTGTCATAAATCATATTGCAGTTAATATAATTATATCTCCTACCACTAGATGGTACTGTAGGAGTACTAACGAGTAGAAATGCCATCTATCATGTATCGGTCATAGGACGGCTGCAGTGTAGCTTTGTTTATTGCGTGACAGACATGTCGTTTTCTCAACAAGAATGAGTTTTCACTGTGGAACATTGTTGGCAACCATGGAATTGAAGACTTTGACTGGGTTTTCTTCACTGACGAAGTGTGGTTTCCACCTTAGTGGCTACGTGAACAGTCAAAATAATAGGATTTGGTCATCTGAAAATCCACATGTGTTACATAAAAAGCCCTGGCACTGTCAAAAAATTGGAGTGTGGTGTGGTGTGCTGTATCACGTCGAATAGTGGGCCCAATTTTCTTTCAAACAGCAGTGAACAGTCCAGCGTACCAAGAGATCATCACAGTTTATTGCGCTTCTTGAAGCTGATGAACGTAAGTGTTGGTTGCAGCAAGATGATGCCACATGTCACACATCTAATGAAACCAGTTCTTGCACGAGTTTTTCAGTGACCGTCTCATTTCAAAAGGATTGTGGCCCCCGCATTCACCCAATTTGTCACTCGCAGATTTTTTCCTTTGGGGGTACCTCAAAGGAATTGTCTATAAAAACAATCCACATACACTGGATGACCTCAAGAAGAACATTATGACAGCGATTAACAGCATCAGTTTACAGGTGCTCCACAAAGTGGCCTCAAACATGGTAAAAAGAGCTCACGCATGCATTACTGAACAGGGAAGCCATTTCGAGCATATGTTGTAAAGACATGTTTTAATTTTGCATTTTTAAGATGTAAGGTTATAAACATTAATAGTAAGTGCTATATGTCTTGTGCATTAAACCAGCAAAATATAATTGTGTAATGTGATGTGCGCGACTTCTCGATCTCCCTGTATTTAACTTTTGAAAGTATTTTAAAGAATGTTGTCAGTAATGACAGTAACCAATGCAAGATTTTTCAACTTTTTTTTGTGGAAATATTTGATATTTTACTTGTAATAATCAAGTCTTTATGGAAAACATCCTGCAGTCGTTGGTTGACCCTATGATTAGTAGGTCTGGTTTTATTTTTCAGATCTAAAAACATTGTCATGAATATTTATACTAAAATAACATTTATGCACTCCAAGAAAAATGTTTACACAAATAGTACAAGTAGGCACGACACAGAAAATCAATTCACTGACATTGTCCGTTCATTGTGGGAAGCTTTTCCTTTCCTCGCCATTTGACCTTAATATGCATATTTTTTGCCTTTAAAAATAACATAAATGTGTTAATAAACACATCAACATGACTGCTCAGAAACAGTAGTTAGTGTTATCTGATTGTCACTTCTGTGACATTTCAGTATAACTCGAGTTCTCCGGAACGAGAGCTACAATGAAGTGAATATTGTGGTTCAGAACTTGCAAGAGAGTGATGGTGGTGACTACAAATGCCAAGCAATAAGTTCTGATGAAGAGCAGACTGAGTTTCAGCAGGTGGTGCTGGTTGTTGTAAAGAACAGTATGTATCAAAACATATAATTGTAACGTAGTCATGTGTTTACTCTGTGATAGCAGTCACTAAATCTACTCATATTCTATTTGCCCAATATAAGTTTGCCTTCCAGTTTCGAGGAAAGAAATTGTTTTTTAATGTTCTGCCACAATTTATGTGGGACCGCCTCTGTGTTCTAGAGGTCAGAGTTCCTGCCTACAGATCCAAAGGTCCCAGGTTCGATTCCCGGCGATACCAGATTTTCTGAGAAGTAGTGGGTCTGGAACAGGGTCCACTCAGCCTCGTGAGGATAATTGAGGAGATATTTCAAGGAAATACAGTGGAACCTCGCTTAACAAGCACCTCTCGTAACGAGTAATTCACATAACAAGCAAAATAAATTGTAAAAAAATGACTCACTTAACGAGCGACGTTTCGCATAACGAGTGATGAGACAATGATATCGATGAGCTTGTGGAAGAGCACAGCCAAGAGCTGACCACTGAAGAGTTTATGGAGTTGCACTGTGTTTCAGAGCAAGAAGTTGTGGAGGAGAGTTTGTCAGAGGAGGAGGAGGAGGAGGTAACAGCAAAGCAACAATCTTCCGGCGCAATAAGAGAAATGCTGAAAGCATGGGAAACTGTTGCATTGTACATTGAGAAGCATCACCCTAATAAGGCAGTGGCTATGTGCGCTACAAATTTATTTAATGATAATGCTGTGTCGCATTTTCACCAAATTTTGAAGCGTTGGCAAAAACAAATGTCTCTAGACAGCTTTCTAGTAAAAAAGAAGTAGATATGTATCATAAATAATAAACTAATTATTTCGATTTTTTTTTTCTGCAAATCGAATTCACATTCCAGGTTGCTTCATTCTGCATAGAAGTAAAGATGAAGATGATTCACGCTCCTTAACAATGTATATATAATTTTCTTTGAATGAACGTTATACATAACATTTTTTTAGTATTTTTTTTGGCATGGAACTCATTATCATATTTTACTTTAATTTATATGGGAAAAATTGTTTCGCTTAACGAGTGTTTCGCATTACGAGTAAGATTCTGGAATGAATTATGCTTGTTAAGCGAGGTTCCACTGTAGTGGCTCCAGCCTTGAAAACCGAGATTAACAGCTGTGGGCATCCATTGCACTGACCACCTGACACCCTCTATACACAAGAGTTTGCACCAACTTTGCTGACAAGCAGCAATCGCTTGGTCAGTATAGTTTGCTTGCGGACTACAGGCCACGGAGTTCTTTTGTTTATTTTATAATTTATGTGATTTCATTCGCCCAGTTCCCTTCAGTATGCACATTTTTTGTGATATCCCAAGGTTTAATTGTTGACATGGAGGCCAGCTGTTTAAATATGAGATATGAGCTTTCGCAGTAGTTCCTGTGGAGATCACTGCGTTCTGGAGTGTGACAGTATACAGTCTGTTAAATCATTAACAACATTTCAGAAGAACATACTGGAGCCATCATTCTACATTATATGTTGCCAGGGTTGGGTAGGTTAGAAGGGTTGGTATTGTGAGTAACAGTTGCAAACAAATTTTGTGCCAGTTTACGGAGTTGGGAAGGTTAGAAAGGATTGTGTTAGGTTTGATTTTACCTTATAGAAAATTTCTATGATTATGCTAAAGCACGTGGAGCTTTGGACAGTTGGTGGATCCATCCTTCTCTGTAATGACTGCATATTTGTTGTTTGTCTGATGCCTCCAGGTGTGTTCTTTGCTGACATTTTGGCCTCTCTCTATCAAGCAAGGCCCTAGAATCCATTTATGAGTTGTGGGCACTCATAAAAAATAGCTCTCTTTTATATAATACTGAAAGCACTGGGGCACGTGGTAGCATAGTTGGTTGAGGCACTATGCTACAAGCCGGAAGGTCGTTGGTTCAAGTCCCGATGAGGTCATTGGATTTTTTTCAATTTACCTAATCCTTCCGGCCGCGTTATGGCCCTGGGGTCGACTCTGCCTCTAACAGAAATGAGTACCTGGAATCTTCCTGGGAGTGAAGAGTGGCCGGCATGTAGGGCTGATAACCTTGCTGCCATCTATGAGCCAATTGTCTAGAGAAAGTGTGGGAACCTCATCTCACAACGCTATGGGCCTCCACGGCCTGTTACAGGGATACCTTTACTTTACTTTTTTACTTACTGAAAGCAGAACTAAAATAACATATAGGAAGGGGAGAAATGTAAACTTGGATTAACTGAATGAAAATGTAGTCTTACATTAGACTTTTATTGAGGTATGTTGCATATACAAGTAGTTTTTACATTATTTTATGATGCTAAATCAGCCTCTGAAGTTAGGCGATGTTGGACTGTGTAGTCAGTGGCATGTTTTTCCTAGTGGTCACCCATCCAAGTGCTGACTGCATTGACTAACTTTGCCAATTGGACAAGAATCTTGTATACATCTTTTTGTATGTGTCAATTAGTATATGAAATTTATTAGGGGATGTGAATGCGAAACAGATTCTAATTGCAACTTTGAAATTTCAGAGAGGTGTGGTCCGCACTTTTTCCAGTGTTTAAGTGGCTTGTGTATTATGAAGCGTTACATGTGTGATGGACTTCCTGATTGCAAAACTGGAGAGGATGAGTCAAGGGATGAATGTGGTAAGCATGTCATTCATAAAGAAATATATTGTTATGTGACTGGCTATAGATGGGGTTTGGATAGGTAATTGGATATATTAGAATGTTACAGATAGTAATGTGGTGTGCCACCTAAAAGCCAGAATATCTGAGTCTAAGCGAGCGTCCATTGTTAGGCAACGGCTCGGTATCCATCGTTCTGGATCGTTGTCCAGGTGACAAACATGTTCACGTGACAACGCATATATAAGAGGCGTTACCACGGAAATGAAAACCAGAACTAGTGCGTTTGGTATCTCAAGTATCATGTGAATTAATAGTGACTCAGATGCTTAGAACACACAGAATTTGAGGTTCTCGTAGTGGTGATTATGAAGAGTCCTGTCTTCTGGGATATACATGTAGTTGACTGAAAGTCAACTGACGTTTCAAAGGAACATGTACTCATATTCAGGATTGAAGAATAAGCCAAGCAAGAAACCAGCATGAACCAGGGAGCTCTGCTTGCTTGCTGCTTCATGCTGAACCCTAAACTGTGGGAAATATGAAATGGAGATGCCCTAACACTAAGTTCATTGACTTGGGATCATTGATATTGTTGCTGAATGAGGGGAAACTGTAAATCCAGGAGCATGAAGTAGGTTTGGAGGATCAGTGTAATGTATTGTTTTACATATTCCATGAATTTTTTGGAGGGGGGAGTTCTTTAATGGCATTCTTGGTATCAAGACTGTACAGCATCAGATGGTGGGACAGTTGGTCAGTGAGGAATCAGAAAGGATTCAGAAGGAAGCAATCATGGCCTGATAAAGGTGCTTACCAGCATTTGCTTTGGGGACTGAGGAAAACCATCATAACTTCAGTTCCTGGCTGAGATTTGAACCAAGCACCTACCAAACATGTCTTGGGCATTACATCTGACCTGTTTGTTTTCAGTGAATTTTTTTTTTAGTAAGTAACCTGTATTTAGTATGGGAGGTTTTTAATCTAGCAGAGCTTGTACCTCAGGTTTGTGCAGATGTGGTCAAAATAGCATTTCCTCCTTGCTTGAAATCATTACCATGCAACCATAATGTTTGATGAGTCATGTCACATAATAAACATGCTTCAGAGCCACACTGCTTGCGGAACCATAGTTGCTTCGTTTCTCAGCTGAGGTTCTTTCCATATTAGTTTCATATGTCAGTAATTGTCTTAGAAATTATTTGTTATTATTGATCATGTAAATACTATAGCATATAGACCTGGTGCTAAGTAATGACTTTGTAAGCAATGGATTCCTAATGCACCAACGAACTTGGGAAGCGATGTTCTCTACGTAGTCCATGCAACAGCCTTGTGATGCAACAGAAAAAAAAATGTTGGAAGCGGTGTTTACTATGCAGTCTGTGCTGAGATGTTACAAGCAGGTCACATCTAGAGCATAGTCAGTTGTGTGAGAGTCACTGGCCAGTAAGGACATGAACCTGGTAGTTGAGGGATCTACAGCGTCGGAAGCTGTTATCAGACGATGACTGGCAAAAACACAGCAGACTGAGAAGACTTAGTATGTGCTGTAATGAACTGCTGAGTTTGTGAATTAGCTATAGCGCTGTAATGACTTATAGTTACGATCTGTAAGCGTTCAGTAAATCCAATTGATACCCTGTCTATAGTCACTGTATCACATGTAATGTATATATTTGTGTAAAAAAAGTTTCTCTAATTGTGCAAGATTTGAAGCTTTCACAGTGAATAAATATGCTAAAATCTTCTTGGGCAATGAGCCATGTCAGTGTTGAGTTTCTCAAACTTCAGTTATAAAGAAATTATTTATTGTAATTATGTACAGTCTTATAAGATGAGAAATTTCTTGATAATTTTATTTAACCCCCATTTAATATAAAACGTTTTTTAGTGTAAGTGAGGCCATTCCCCTAGAGATTTATTAAGTTGAGATTTCACTGTATCCTGCCCTAGCTTCCTGACCCTCCCCATAGCCTGTAACGCGTGAATGATGTGACATTATTTTATGTTGCTAGGACCAAATCCATGTGAGAACAAGCTTCGCTGTGATGACCATCGCTGCATTCCGATAGACTGGTGCTGTGATACAATCCACGATTCAAATTGCACTGCAAGGGTCTTGCCCCCCTGTTGCCTTCAGTTGTCTAAATGTGAGTCCTCCAAGGAAATGACTAATTTACTTTACAGTTGCAGTTTTTATATCATTATAAAATGTAAACCTAATAAAATTCCGTGGTCTTAAACTGCAAGTGAACTATACCTACCAAGCGACCACCGCTTGTCGATGAAGTTAGTGCCAACTTTAGTGGATAGAGGGTGTCGCGTGGTCAGTGCAACGGATTCCCACAGCCATTAATTTCGGTTTTCTGGATGGGACCCGCTACTTTTCCATTCAAGTAGCTCCTCAGTTATGCTCACGAGGGTAAGTGGACCCCATTCCAGACCCATTGCTTCTCAGAAAATCTGGTAGCTCTGGAAATCGAACCCGGGACCTCTGGATCTGTAACCAGGAACTCTAACCAATAGACCACGGAGGCAGTCAGTATATTAATGTAGACCTATTAGTTGTGGAAATTTAATTGCCAATCCTAATGGCTACACTGTTTGACCACTTCAGCAGCTGAGTGTACATGCAAGTGGGTCTTGCTTCCGGCTGTTTTGTGTACTTGATTTATAATCTATGGTCTCATTGTATCAGCTGTAATTGTACAGTATGTTTACAAATTTATCTCTAAGCTATACCTGTTGTTTAAGAATAGTTTGAACTCTGTTCACATTTTGACTATATTAAAGTAAAAAGTAAAGTAAAGGTATCCCTGTAATAGGCCATGAAGGCCCATACAGTTGTGAGATGTTGAGGGTCCCACATTATCAAGATGATTGGCTCAAAGTTGGTGGTAAGGTTGTCAGCCACGCTTTACTCTCCAGGAAAATTATTTAATTAATTCCTGGCACTCATTTCTGTTAGAGGCTGAGTCGACCCCGGGCCCATAGTGCAGCTGGAAGGATTATGTCAATTGAAAAAAATCCAATAACCTCATCGGGACTTGAACCCACAACCTTCTGGCTTGTAGCATAGTGCCTCAACCAACTATGCTACTGCATGCCCCCCATTTTGACCATATTAGGTTTAAAAAATGTTTATTTTTGCCATGCATTTTATTAACCTGTTACCGACATAATGTTGTATATACAGTATATGCATTCTCTTCAAAGTGGAGATGCTACAGAATCTCGTGAAGAAATATGTTCAGACGTTGTTTCTAGCGGCAAGAGTGGATTCCTTTGGCTTCCATCCTGTCTAGATTAGCATCCATTTTTGCATGGTTAGTCTTCATTTGTTCTCTCATCTTCTTCAGTTTCTGATTTCAGCCAGGAGGCATGTCATCATTTGTTCTTTTTCTGTAGTGTGGTGGTATAATGATCATGATCCAATGCAGTGTCCAGTCCAACCACTTCCAACCTTAGTTGTCACATGTAAGAGTGTGACTGTAGATGGGGTTTGGATTGGAGATTGGATGTATTTACCACTTTAACACATGACTTGTGACTACACATAATTATAGCGTCATCACTGATTTCCACACTTTACAAATCACTACAGCACACACTAAGTCTTTTCAGTCTGCTGTCTTTACTATGCGTTCCCTGGTAACATCTTCTAACAGTGGGGATTCTTAAACTGCACTGTCCAAGTCTTTTCTTCACAGGCTCCCTTACAATTCTGACTACTGACAACTAACTTCTAAAATTGTCCCTTGCTTATAACATCTTGGCACGGACCACATAGAAAACACCGCTCGTTGTACGCCAATCATTTCCGTGGGAACGTGTTTGTTTGCAAAGGCGTTGCCTGGTGACAGGTGCATATGCTTGCTTATTAAGAGTCTCTTGCCTAGCAGTGAATACCCAGTAATGGTTCTACACACTGCAATATATTGTTTTGCTTTTGGCATATGCTACTTTCAACAATTTTGTTTATAACCAAGAAGAATTAATTGATTCAATTCCTGTAGTACAGTGTTTTTCTTTCTGTGTTATGGCGTGCATGACAATTGGTACTTTCCATCCCATGTCACCAACAAACAGGCTGTAAAGTTTGCTTTGGAACATTTTAGAAGTATGGGTGTATGGTTGCATTGTTCTATTTTTTGGTCTGCTTGTTTGTTTTCCCTCCCTCCAGTAGTTTATTTGATGACAGTGTTCTGTAGACTGTATTGCTGAATGAATTGGAAAGGATGTGGAAAGAAGCATTTATGATGTAACTTAAGGTACTGTCTTTCATTTGGTTGGAGGATCTGAGAATATTGAGTGTCCCATCTGAGGTTTGAACCAGGCACCTCCCAAATAGAAGTCAGAAGCATTTCCTCTTAAGCAGACTTGTTCAGTGCTTGCACAGTCATTCTATATGTTGTAAATGGGTCTTATTGAAGTCTTATTCCTGTGTGTTTTTTCTGTTAATGTAGCATTCATGGACCATGGTCCAGGATACATGAATGAACCACCACCCCAGGGTCTCAATGACATGGGATTCCTTCAGACTACAATTTATACAGTTGTAGGTGAGTGTTACATGTACTGCATTTAGAAATGAACATCTTAAATATATGGCATATTGAGGCATTTGTCAGTGTGAATATAAGAGAATAATGGGCTTGAGAAAAGCTTAAAGAAAACGTGAGTGCAAAGAATGATTGGGTAAAGTGGGATTCTATTGGTTTTGATATGTGCAGAAGTGAAATTTACCTGACAACTTTTAGTATTTGTTTTCTCTGTTATATGGGTCACTCAGTAACTGAGCCTCTCCATTTATCTCTGTCTTCTTTAAGCTTCTTCTTAGTTTCCTTTCGTGTTCTTTCTAACTTCTGCATTACATCTTCCATAACATGTTTTCATTTTCATCATTATTTTTCTCTCTCTCTCTTTTTTTTTATGTTCATGTTGAAGACAATGTTTGGGATTCTGTCTTTGTGCATTCTTAAAACATGCCCCTACCATCATATTCTGCTGCTTATTCATTTATGTTTTATTGTATAGTGGGCCCTTGGTTTACAGTGGTTTGATATACACCAGTTTAAATATCCACAGATTTGAAAAATTTCTAGTATTAATTTCCCATCTTTATAGTTTACATCCTGTTGTGTGTCATAAATAAGATATACAAAAGTATACAAGGTATGCCATCTACACAACAATATTCTGGATTTAAAAACAAAGAAGACATTACTGTATCAACATTTGCTTTTATTATGCTTTTACAGACACAACATGTTTCGACCCTTATACCAGCTCATCATCAGGTGTACAATGCTCCAGTATGAGCTGATGAATTGCAATTAATTATCATCTAATTCTTCAAATAAGTATCCTTATCGTGTCTTGAAATTATTTAAATGCAAACTTAATACATATATTTACACATTTCGATAATTCCAAGGCACAATAACGATCCTTATTCGAACAATTAGATGATAATTAATTGCAATTCATCACTTTAAACTGGAGCGTTGTACACCTGATGATGAGCTGATATAAGGGTCGAAACATGTTGCATCTGTAAAAGCATAATAAAAGCAAATGTTGATACAGTAGTGTCTTCTTTGTTTTTAAGTACAGAATATTGTTTTATAGATGGCATACCTTGTATACTTTTGTATATCTTGTTCATTTCCCATGTTTTCCCCAAAGAGCCATCCTCAGCCTCTTACAAATGAGGAACTGGAAGATTTGGCTGCATAATTGACATGGAAACAAAAATAGCAAGAACAAAAAGAGCCTGTTTTACACTCTGTAGAAATCTATGACCTGCAGGAAATCCTGGCTGGGATTGATAGTTACCTGCAGAGGATAGGCGACATATATCTTGACTGGGAACTGAGCTGTCTTGTTAGCAGAGGAATCAGTGCAGTCCTGCAGCCCTACTGTCATGTTCTGCGGGAAAGGGGACATGAAGGAAGGCAAAGAACCCTCCTCGTTTTAAAAGGAAATCTGAAGAGCCTTCACTTGAACCCGTCGGCCCTTAGGATCCTTTCGTCAGTAGTGCCTGCATATTCATGTTTTATTACAGAGTAAATATGATATAAATCCATATGTTATGTTTGTGTTTAAAATATACAAACGCTTTGTATTGCTTTACAAGAGTAATTTCAAATTTTGTGTACCTGGAGCACATTCAATTGAAATACAATTCGTCTTTCATTTATGGCAATTCGGTATACGCCGGCATCTCCATGAGCCTAATTCTGGTATAAAACAAGGGTCTACTGTATTTATCTTTGAATTCTGTCTAGTTCTGTTCACTTCTTAACGTCCCTCTCCTGCTGCCTCCGTCTGTGCTTGTTCAGTATCTCATCCCAGCTGCTCATAGCCTTCTTACATGTCCATATGTTAAAAAGGGCATGTAGTAATTTTTAAATAAAAGCATATTTCCTGCTTTTGGCATTTTCCATTTGCAAAATATATCCCTAATTAACTGGTAAAAATTTCCTATACTTTTTATTCTTTCTGTAATTTCTTTTTGTACATGCCTGTGTGTCAATATTTTACTTCATAATTATTTAAAACTCATTTTTTGTTATTTATTTTTATCATTTCCATGTCTCGTGTCATATGGAATATTTTCCTAACCATACTCTTTTTCCAAATTGACATTTAATCCAAAATCTTTACACACAGTAACAACTGTATGACATTTTGCTTTCTAAAGTTGCCTCATTCAGCTCCCATGTAGCAATATAATTTGTATGAACCATAGTGTTTGTTATTTCATAGTCATGTCCTTCTTTTATGGTACATATGTTTCATCAGATAAGATCAGATCAACTGAGTACTTCCAAAGGTGAACACAGCAACTTTGTGCCTTCAGTTAAGAATTGTAGACATGACACGATAAGTAACAGTGTTCAATGGCTACCATGCTGCTTTTGTCTTTGTTCAAGCTGTAACCATTTTCAATAATCAGACTCACTCATACATGTTTGCTCAAATAGAGAAATTGATGTATCTCTCTCTCTTTCTTTCTGGCTGATCCTTGTCCTCCTTTGAACCTGAAGGCTGTGCCATGGCATTCATGTTCATTGTAACGATTCTTGTTATTGCAATTTGCCGTGTTCACATGAAACGTTCATTATTAGTCACACGTTGCCCTACTGCTAGGGGTGGAATTATGATGTCTCCACTTACTGGTAACAGAGCTCCACACCACCACCATCATGGTTTGCAGCATATGCCTCTGTACGATCTGGATGTGCTGTTAAATCGCCCCTCTTACCCCCCAGCATCATCAGTTTCCCCACACTCAGGTCTCTTAGTTACTTACAACATTAATAACGGTGTTCAATTTGTGGGACGGCCTATAGACCCACCTCCGTACTGTGAAATTGTTGCCTCTCCTCCCAGAGAGGGTCCTCCTCCTCCTTATGCATCTCATGAAACCCTACCTCATGCCAATCCTGAAGCCAGTTCAGTAGATCCTGACAGCGTGGATGACATCCCATGCGAAAGAGACTCGCTTCTGGGTCCAAGCACAGAAGTGGAGCATCTGGAAAATGCACAATTAAGAGGTAACACTGAATACTTGGATACACTTGCTCCTGATTTGTTGAACGCTGGCCCAGTTTTCCTTTCTGGTCAGCAGCGGTCGATGCAGGAAGTGGACAGAAGCTGTCAGCTTGGTAGTGCAATTTCATTAACGGTAAGCAGCAATGTAAATGATCACAATGTTGTGTCAAGTCCAGATACTGCCTCTAGTCTGGGAAATTATGAAAGAGCAGGTGAAATTACAGTGCAGAATGGTGTCGGTGTTAACAGCTGTGAGAATATAATAGTCACTCCGAAGGTGCCTGATACCGATGATGTTAGCCCGAGGAATATGGGCGTTATGGGCAAGTCTTCACCTGACGTCTCAACTGTTCATCTTGTGGACAGTTCTGTGAATAAGATTTCTTGTATCACACAAGATGAAAGCAGCTTCAGTGTTGTTTGTCATAGCCAGGAAAACCCTTTGCAGTGCCTACATGACACCTTCATTGCTATCCACGCAAATCAAGGTGACCTAAATCCAAGAATCAAATCAGCAGATACAGCTACACCCAATGTGACTTTAGGAAGCTATGCAAGGACTCAGGTTGCTAACAGTGAAGATTGAGGATGTGTTCAGCATCTTTCTTTGAGGAGATATATCGTAGTGTAAATATATTTACAGGGTTTATTACACTGAGATTAAGATTAAATGAGTACTGTTATTATTTCTTGATATATTATCAGATGATTTAATTGGTAACTGCGCTGATTAACCTTGTTATATGTTCACATTATCTACTGTCACATTTCGTTATTAAAACTGGAATGATATTATGTGTGGTGGCAGGTTATTAGTGTGATTTCATAGGTAAAGTTTTAGGGGTATCATTGCTCACGTAAACATGTATCACTGTTACATGAAGACAGAGATGAATGCAGTTACAGTATGGTGGAAACTGGAAAGGTATAGTGCACGTTCTTCCAATGCATTCCAACTTTTATGCAGAAGTTTTCATAGGAAATGGAGTGTTGTGACTGATTTAATAGTTTTTAAGTTAACATTTTTAAATATAAGTTCCAGGGTTGAGGTATCATTTGTATTATATTTTATTAAAATTATTTCTCCATTAAATTGACCCAGTATTCATCTGTATTACAGTGCCTGAAAGATACTAAGTTATTGACAAGTATGGCAGGTGGTACATATAGTATCCACTGGTAGCCCAGATAATTTTTGAAAATATGTTTTTTCTGTTAAGAGGGGATAACAGTTTTGTTGCAGTGCATATAAGTGTCTTACACAGAAGCTGTTGGAAGGTGTTGAAGCTTTGTTGGCGGTAATTAGAGTCATATTTCCATAGCCTGAATGGAATGGTACATTTCTGTTGCCTCTGACTCATATTTGGAAGGTATTTAGTTTCAATCCCAGTCAAGAAATGCTTGCCTTACTCAAGAGGTTTTATGATTTTCTTCATTCCCATCATGCAGATGCTAAAATGGTGCCTTAAAATAGACCATAACTTCTTCCTCCCATATATCTGCCAATTCATAGTTTGGAATCATGTATTATTTGATAATATAGCTCAGAAATTGGTGTCTTAAAGTAACCAAATAATCAGTCAGAGAACCACTGAAAAGAAGAGATTGTCAGCTGTAGTAAGAAAGAGTAATGCTTGATTGGGAAAAGTGTGGGCCAGTGATATGTTTTGGAGGAAAGTCAGAAAAATCAGTGACTCATGAATCTTGAGCATAATTGCATAAATGCCAAGTAATTTGTGAACATCTCCCCTCCCCAAAAAAAAACATTACAGTATTCTTTTCATAAAGTTCATATTTTGATAGTCTGAAATTGGGGACAGAATAATTATAGTCTGAAAGTTATTTCAAATTTCCTTCTGGCCACTCTTTATCATCATCAGCATCGTCACAGCTCATTTGACACTGTAACCATGGCATTCAATATAAACTGTCAGCAGACATGCCCCTATTTTTACCGCCGTTCATACCTTGTCATTGCCACTAGGTGTTATAATTCAGTTACTGCTCTTCATTCTCACTCTGAATATGATATGTATACAGTTTTTAATGCAGAATTTTGCTCTCAAATTAGTTTATTAAATTTGAATGTTCCAAGCATAAATTTAGAAAATTCTTCCTATCTGAAGAATTGTGGTGTGACTGGTATAGTAGTTTGGTGGTACAAAAGTATGTTTAAACATTTTCAGAAGTGCTATGGAAGGAAACCGTTTAAGTAATTTTTGTGTGCCTACAACCCTGGGACTGAAAATATATGTTATTCGTTTTATATTGTAATGACATTGTTGATGTCCAGTTTGCACTGTTATTGGTAAAAGTAAGAGTTTCAGGTTGAAATGAATTTGTGATTTTTACTGTATGACGATTTTCATACTGTCATGTTTTATGTTTGACAGTGTGACACATATTGTGCAGAACTGTTGTACCTGTTTGTATAAACAATTATGATCTGTTTATGTGGGAGTTGAGGTTCTCACACTAGTGATTATGAAGAGTTCTATCTTCTGGCAAGTAACACCAGTCTACCCAGTAACATACGAATCCCAGAATCTCGTATCCCAGAAGATAAAACTCTTCATAGTCTCTTATAGTTGTAGTCTTCCATGTCTGCTTTATTAAAACTGAAGCTTTCATAATATATAAACAGATATCAATGCATGATACAGTTGAATCTCCACATGATGTTCCTCATTATAGGGCTGCATTTCTTTTAGTCCTACAGTGGAACACCTGTGCAAGGTTTCTTTTGAGAGCAGTGCATTTGAACACTAAACTGATGAGAATCTTGAATGGAGGTAAAATTAAGTGAGATATTGATTTGTGACTGTGAAATTTAATGTTAAATGAAGGAAAACCTTATACTGAGGAACACTCAGTTGAGCTCCATAGTATCTTATTTCAGTCTACACATTTCATTTTTGGCATTGTAATTCCTTTGCTGTTAGCTCACTAGATTATCATTTAATGAGAGTACAGTGGAACCTCACTTAACAAGCATAATTCGTTCTAGAATCTTACTTGTAATGCGAAACACTCGTTAAGCGAAACAATTTTTTCCAGATAAATTAATGTAAAATATGATAATGCGTTCCATGCCAAAAAAAAATACTCAAAAAATTTTATGTATAACGTTTATTCAAAGAAAATTATATATACATTGTTAAGGATCATGAATCATCTTCATCTTTTCTTCTATGCGGAATGAATCGTCCTGGAATGCAAATTCGATTTGCAGAAAACAAAAAAAAATCGAAATATTTAGTTTATTATTTATGATACATATCTAATTCTTCTTTACTAGAAAGCTGTCTAGAGACATTTGATTTTGCCGACGCCTGAAAATTTGGTGAAAATGCGACACAGCATTATCATTAAATAAATTTGTAGCACGCACAGCCACTGCCTTATTAGGCTGATGCTTCTCAGTATACAATGCAACAGTTTCCCATGCTTTCAGCATTTGTCTTATTGCACCAGAAGATTGTTGCTTTGCTGTTACCTCCTTCTCCTCCTCCTCCTCTGACAAACTCTCCTCCACAACTTCTTGCTGTGAAACACAATGCAACTCCAGATCATGCAAATCGTTGATGTAGACCGATTGTATGTGCGTCCTAGATCAGCCACGCTCACACCTCGTTCTCGCTTTTCAATGATTTTATGTTTCATTTCTACGGTTATTTTTATCCTCTTATGGCTGTCTTTTTGCGGCTTTTTCTTTGGGGACATTTTTGCAAGGGTTAAACTTTGCACAAAAAAAAAACACAAATAATATGTCTGAACACAAGTTTGGAAAAATGTGTGATCACAAGCGACACCAAGATGCTAGCGGAACGAGTGCTAAACACAGGCAGATGTAGCAAGCGCACAACTCGGGACTTTCCCTCTTGTCACTCGTTATGCGAGTCGTTTTTTTTACAATTTGTTTTGCTCGTTATGCGAATTACTCGTTATGAGAGGTGCTCGTTAAGCAAGGTTCCACTGTGCAGTCTCCCAGCCCTACAGTCTTCTTCTATTCTGCCCTTTAATCTCCAGTTTTACTTGATTAAATTTGTTTCTGTTTATATGTACCATCTGATTCTTCTGGTCATTCATATTTCTTTTGGCTGATTTTCTTTTATATTTCTATTCAGTCCATAAATTTGCAGTATGACCAAGATGACAGTTTTTATTATTGTTCAGTTGCAAGTGGGTGTTTGGAACAAATGTCACATACAGGAGCTACTGATGCATAATCTGGTGGCTGATGTGCTGTTAGGCACTGTAAGTCTTGACCTTCATGTCTTCAAATAAATTGGCAAGAAATGACGATATGCACATCCATGTCTCAAAGACAAAATATTGATTTTCTCAAAACCACCTTTATGAGTTAGATAATTTCTTTGTTACATATTCAAGAGACAGCAGTGGTCTACTGCACAATAAACAGTTTAATTCCCACGGTAATGTAATCAGATCTGTCATATAAGAGATGACATTATGTGCAATATCTTTGCACTAGTTTTCTGTGTGTGTGTACAGTCACATACGTAGGCTCTTCAGATGCATATAATTATTTGTTGTGAAATACATGTTTTAGTTTACATTGCAAGTAGCTCGATTTGTTACTGTAGTCATATTTTCTTGCATTTATGCTTTCAAAGAATGAAGAAAGGCATGGATAACAGCTTGCACATTTGGGAGTGGGTTGCACAAGTAGTTTTTGCACTACACATTGCACCTCCTCATCAAAACAAAAGCGAATTCCAGTGATTGTCACTCTTAAGGGCCCATAGAGATGATAGTTGCTTGGTGCAAGGCCTGAAGGCTAAGATATGTGTGGGGAGATTCATGCGGATTTTTCTTTGATTGTAGCAACCATCCAAGAGCTGGTATCCTTAGAGAGGAATTCATATGATTTTCACAAATTATTTCTTAGACTTGTGAATCTCTTCTCTAGAATATCTATGGTACCATTTATGTCTCAGAAAACCATCAACATGATTTATCCAGCTGACTATTAAACTGAAAATTCATTAGATTTCAGCAGTGAAGAATAATGCCACTCTCTCTGAGCTTATTTGCTTTCAAGAACCATACACTCGTGACTCATTCATTTTATACAAAACTACTTCTATGTGATAAGTCAGTTGAGACAAGGGAATTAATTTATTTCTCAGAGGTTATCTCAGTTAACTCTGGTTTTTAGTCAGGAAGATATTGAAGCTAACTCTGTATTTGTGTCTGGTTCTGGTATGTTACTCATACAATAAACATGACTTATTTTGGACATTATCCATTGTCTTAAAGTCGTCCCCCAAACATAGCATTCAGGAGACTGTATATGCTTGTGTTAACATATCTGAGGGAGGAAAGGTTCGTACTTGGTTGGGCTTATTAAAGGGGAGCAAGTATGAATTACTGGACCTTGATCTGATTTCCAAAATTTTGAACATGGAACTGCTTGAGATGAAAGACAGTGTCCTACAAAATAGCTGTGCTTTATAGAAAGATATTTCTTTTCCTATATTGTTGGTTTATATGTTTTTGAACACTACTGTTGAAGAATAATGTCATGAGTGTGTTAAGGTGTATCCAGTCTGCTCATACTTGAGCTTAGATTCGGCTTGTGCATAATTTCACGAGTCTGAACTTAAGCAGTATGATCAGCTCTAGCCCTAGGTGGTGTTACAGAAGCCAAATTGCAGTTTGCATTTCACACAGCCAACAGAAATCAGCATAGATGTCTGACTCTGAATGTACCTTTACAGTAAGAGAAGGTCTTTAATACTTGCACAAGTTACAGTGTGTGAGAATGATTGGGATTTACCTATGATCAGACATGTAGGGCCATGCCATGGCTCAAGCGGTTAGTTGCTGGCTTCCCACCACGGCGGCCTGGGTTCGATCCCAGGTCTGGTCAAGTGGGATTTTTGGTGGACAAAGTGGCACTGGGGCGGGTTTTCTCCTAGTACTTCGGTTTCCCCTGCCAATCTTCATTCCACTAAATTCTCCATCATAATCACCCAGGGCAGGTACAATAGGCCAATCAGTGGCTGCCGTGGCGAGTGGACCCAGCTGGACTGCACCCCCTACTAAGCGAAAAAACATGATCAGACATTCTTAATGTTTAAGCTGTTAATTAGTATATCTGCTGTTTGACAGTGAGTGTCTGATTTGTTAAGCAAAATTATGTGTTCGTTATCACCCGTTCCATCATAGTAACTGTTGAAGATCTAATGCGTGTTCAGTCTCAATGTGCCCACATTTCATTTTGTTTTGGAAGTTGTATTCAGGTTTGCAAACACACAGTTTACTTCGACATTATGCTCAATTGTAAGGTACAAAATGTGTGTTTATTTATAATTAATTGAAACACAGGAGTAACAGTGTTGTGCACTACATAGTTCAAAGTAATGTAAGCATAAAATTTTAAGTTGATTGTCACAATTATGATTCTCTCACTCATTTCTCCCAACTCCATAAACAGTTGGAGGAAGTGTGGTTGCTGCCTTTAAGGGGAATTAGATAATAATAATCTTTTTTTTTATTGCTAGTGGGGTGGGACTAAGTCCCTTGTACTGCGGCCACTTCTGGCCTATTGTACCAGCCCCAGATGATAGGTGAGGGTGATTGTGGAGCAATTGGTGGAATGAAGATTGTCAGGGGAAACTGAAGTACTCTGAGGAAACCTGCCCCAGCGCCACTTTGTCCACCACAAATCCCACTTGACCAGACCCGAGATCGAACCCGTGCCACTGTGGTGGAAAGCCAGCGACTAACCGCTTGAGCTATGGCGCAGCCAACTAATAATGATCTCGCTATTTGTCTAAACAAGTGTTTTATGAACTCATAAATTAGGGCCACAAGCCGTGCTAAAAAGGAGTTGTTATACTCTTCTTTCATTTCTAACATTTCATTTGAGTTACAGTCATTTTGCAGCTGGTGATACTGATTCGTATAAAGTTTTATCGGAGTCTGTCTGAAGACTCAAAAGTACACACAAAAGTTTAGTTAAGTCTTTAATAAAATAATCGCTAAATTGTATGAAACTGAATGTGATGTATGCATGCTAACACTCATATATACTTACACAAGTGTCATATATACATACTTTTGTAAGTGCCATATATCAAGTTAAAGAAACATTTGTATCGGAGACTGTGTACAGAGAAAAGCTGATACACATTCCTGATGCAGATTATAGAAGTCAACCAATAATACTTTGAAGAGATTCATCTTTGCAGATATAAGACTCCATAGTCCAGTGGCAATCAAGTAGCTTGACTTGCTTGCTGGCTACTACATTTTGTCCAGGAGGTTGGAGACAATAAACTTCAATTTACTTTTACGAGACTACATGGCATTATATTCCAGTTGACAGAACACTTCAGTCATTGCTACACTAATATTTTGGTGGCTGCTAACCGCTATTTGCCGAGTGTTAATTTTTGTGGCTTTTACTTATATGTGTACATTTGCAACTGGACACCATCTGCCTTGTTTGTAGAGACAAATAGGAAATCTTAAATGAAAGAAAATAAGTGGAATTATGCCTTAAAATGTATTGTATTGCCTTTTTTTTTAATTTTTTATGCAAGATTTGCAGATCTTTTGTGTGCATTTGGTCTTGTGCTTGAAGATTATATGTTTTAGAGTTTTATTTCCCATACAGAAATTCTCTATAGATACAAGGTTAATCCACGTTTAAAGGAGCTTTAAAAGGAAATTTGACTTGTTTTGAAATATACTTAAATTCTTATTTGGTTCTCCTCTCCTATTTGTTACTCTATGCAGTGAAATATTATGAAATTGTAATTATAAACTTTTGATTCAGCTGCAGACAACAGACATTTTAAAATCAATGTGGAACTATTAGGCTATGACTGCCGACTACTATTTCAGAACATATGAATGAATGAAGGTTATATTACAGGGAATCTGTTAATTTCAAGGAAACTGATGAGGTCTTTTTGTAAAACCAAATGTAAAGGGTAACACAACTGCATAGTGATACAAATTAAAGGGAAAGGACTCAAGTACACAAAATTTGGACAAGTAATTCTTTGCTTAGAACAGAATATCAAATAATGTCTCAGAGTAAACTTCAGAAGGCTCCATTTGATTTGTACAACAGTTTGTTCAAATACTGCATAAACAATTTATTTTGATCTGACAAATGTTAAGAATTGTATTAGGTGTTTTATGAAAATTCTTATAGCCATAAAATGTTCGTGATCAGGGTGGATACTTGAGTATGCCTGGCTCAAGGAAGCTTTCTCTTCCCACCAAAACTGTACTGTCTTCTGGGAAGCATTTGCTTTGCTGTACAGCAAGTGCAGTAATATTGTTTTTTTATTTATGTATTCAGTGTTTTCTAACGTTAATGGGTAACAGACATTCTCTTTTCTTCAATATATGCATGCTGTAAACAACCGTCTGTTAATGGTAAACAAGTCTTCCATGTATAGAAAACTGTATAGTTGACTAAGTGAAATAGAGTCTATTTTAGTCCATTTTGTGTGTTAGAATTCTTCATACTGTTGGGGGGGGGGGGGTTTCCCTCATTGTCATATTCCACAACTGTAAATCATTCCAGTCACTTTTCTTCAGTTACTTGTATTTTATGGTTCCTTTATAACCACCACCACATTATTGTTGATGTTGTTGTTACATTTAGTGTTCAATTCCCAGCAGGGGAATATTAGCGGGATATTCTAAAGTCTAGGCTGAAATAAAGTTCTTCCTTCTACAGTCGAGGGGTATGCGTAAGTGAAGTGGCACGCAAACCCATTTCTACATTAATGCAAATATCTGCGTATTTATATGTGTGTAGACATTCTGACGTGAAAAGTCCTGTAATCAGGGAGATTTCGTATGGACTGGCGTCGAACGAGGTAAGAACATGGGTACCTCCATCGCAATGACGTTGAGGACTCGAAACATCGTAGCAGGTTGGCAGACCTGCCCTGTTCACGAACCGTGCGTAAGATGTTGCGCTAGCTGACGCTGCCTATTGCTCAGTAACGTAAGGAACGCGGTGAGCGCGGTGAGTGTGTGAAGCGTGATAGAGACGTCATAAATAACATACTTAACTGTATATAGTATAATTTGAATAATTGTTAGTATTGCATTCCTGAGGAGGGATTTTCCATACCGAGCTAAAAATTTCTTCCCTACTTTAAATATGTATTTATTTGAACAGTTTTATCGCCAACGTAAACATTAAATTTACTTCGGACTTAAGTTTTGTCGTGCTTCATACAATACAAGAAGGCACATACTGGTGAGTTCTTAGACTTTTATTGTTATTTTATATAAACATTTATTTTTGTGTCGTTTACTGGATTATGTAAAGACACTGTCACAGCATGAACCAGTGACTGGGTAATCATGAATTGTGATCTTCGAGACTTTGTATTTATCTATACATATGTATATATTTATTTCCAACCATTTGCCTAATATAGTGAAGAGAATCACGAGTGATCTCAATCAAAATTCGTGTCTTAGGCTGAGATTGGAATCAGTGATCTCCATAATACGAAGCGAAGGAACTAATCATTACACCCGCGAAGTTCACTTACGATACACCAACTACGTACATAACATGAATTGAAGAGAATTACTGTTGGGAAGAAGAATTTTGCAAGAATCGTTTTCGTTTTCTCTCTAAGATATGAGCTTTAGCCGCAAAATCGGCAGATAGGACTGAGGGAACATTTGACTAAACGAACCTCATTGAGAACAGCGGAACATTACGACAACGTACTGCTGCGATAAGCGTGTTATGACCGCCTTGCTGAAGCTATTGTCAAACAGGCTTCACTGATATGATTCTGGAAATAACACACGAAACACTGACCAAACATCGCTTCTGGACGGCTAGGCATCCTGCAACATGTTTGGAAGATTCCGTATTGAAATGCGGGCCCGGAGACCGGCTACTTCACAGGGTTATCATGGTTTCCCTCAGTCCGTCCAGGAAAATGTTGGGATAGTAATTAAAGTCAACACACGATCACTTCTTCCGCGTCCTTTTAGATCCATGATTTACAAAGTACCCGTTATTCGACGTTTTATAATTTGAGCTATTGAAAACTTTGTTAAATACACGTATTGTAAACTTCATATTTCCCTTTAATATAAGTTTTGTATGCTTTAAGATAATTAAGCAATGTATTATGAAAAACAGAGAAATTTCCAGTTACTTTTTAAATGTCTCTCAAGCAAGAATGTAAATAAATTATATTAATATATCGAGGGCACATGGTAGCGTAGTTGGTTTAGGCACTATGCTACAAGCCGGAAGGTCGCGGGTACAATTCCCGTTGAGGCTATTGGATTTTTCAGTTGACCTAACGCTTCCAGCCGCCCTATATCCCTGGGGTTGACTCAGCCTCTAACAAAAATGAGCACCAGGAATCTTCCTGGGGAGTGAAGGACGGCCGGCGCGTAAGGCTAGCAACCTCACCGCCATCTATGAGCCGACTGTTTAGAAAATGTGAGAGCCTCGACGTCTCACGAGTCTGCGGTCTCTTACAGGGATAGGTTTACTTACCTGCTTGAAGAGATCGTGGGTGAATCATGAGCTCTTATTCATATGATACAACCGGTCCCTGACTAGAATTCAGATCATGTGCCTCTCGCATATGAGTAAGCAGCGTTGCTCCTCAACTAGCGTGCTTCATGTTACGCAGTCTGGTTCACAGTTTCTGAATAATATCTCTTACTTAAATCCATTCATTGAGCTACAGTAATTGTTCTAAAGACTGCAGTGTTCTGGTCTGTGCCTCCAAGAAGTACAAACAGCCCTACGTTTCGGAGGAACTATGAAAAACTACTTTTGTCAAGGATGACTAAACAGTTATATTTTATTAAATAACAATCATCGCAATAACAAATAAATTAAAAGTAGTAGAATTTGGGCCTAAAGGGTATGTTGTATCGTGTTATATTTTGTGTGACTAGTTCCTTTTCAAATTCAGAGACCTTTCAATAAAAGACAAAAGAAGAAGGTAAATCTGTCCCTGTAACAGGCCGTGGAGGCCCATAGGGTTGTGAGACGTTGAGGATCCTACATTATCTAGACAATCGACTCACAGATGGCTATGCAAATTTAACGCCACTTACACAGTGGTGTACGAGTAAGGTGCGCATGTTATAAATAAAACATGTATCATTTCTTAATTAGCAACCACACCATGAAGGCTTAATGGAAGCAGAGGTATAAGCCCACCATTCTTGACCTCTGCACTAGATGGAGGCGAGTGGTCGACTTCACGCCCCGGCCGCTTTACACCCAGGGAAGGAGCCTCCAGTCGCCATTAGAATTGGGCCCTGGAGTCCGTCTGGAAGTTCTGGGAAAAGAAACGGAAAAATTTTTCCTCCCCTACCGGTAATCGAACCCATTTCCTCGTTCGTCCAGCCCTTGTCTAATCGCTATACCGACTGAGATATCCTGGCTTATCTGTGTTTCAACCGATTGTGTTTAGTGAACTTGATATCAGAGTCTGGTGCTTCCCCATGATAAGTATGACGATTCTAGGAACTGTAAAGCTGTAACAATGGTAGGAAGTACAACTTAACTGACTTACGTAGACCGGGAAATCCCGGCTGGCAGTTCCATATTCATTTATATAGAAGGCACAAGGAAGCGGTTCGTTGTTACCAACCTGTTACAAGCATACGTGAGTCGTGGGACGACCTCAGTGTTCCCGGTTAGATAGGAATCGACAGATGAATATCTATATGTAGTTTGCAGTAGGGGCACAGCATTTCCAAACGTTCTTTGCGATTTTGCACACCGCATTGATCTTGACTTTGATTTGGTGTACCCAGAAGACGAGAACATCATACAAATTCCTGTCAACGTGGAACTGCGTGCCAAACTGTTCCTACACCTGGTCATGCAGGTTGTGCAGTGTTTCTGACGTGAGTGCCTTGCCCTTTTACAGCATGAGCAATGCTTCGGAAAAGTTCAGGGCTGCCTGCAAATGTATGTGCGGATATGTCTGGTTTGTGGGCCCGATAATTTGTTAATCACAATCCCAAAACAACAAGAAAATAAACAAGTTATGCTAAAACGCCTTTCATTTTCTTATTCCTTTCATATTAAGCCCTGTAGCCTGTTTTCTCATCAAAATTAATCTGGAACTATGGATCTTGTAGACAGTTGGCAGGACTCCTTGAACGGGGAATCAGTCTTGTCGCAAGGCCACTACCTACACGCAGAACAACACAAACACAGATATCCATGTTTTGAGTGGGATTCAACTCACGATCCCAATGTTTAAACCAGCGAAGACATTTCATGCTTTAGACCGCACGACCACTGTGATTGGCCCCTAAAACGCAAAGCATAATAACCATTAGCACAATCATAATTAACAACAACAAACAACAGTTCAACAAAAGATTACATCTCTGTGTCACAACTGTTGATTTCTCTAGATTCCTCTCTGATAGAGCCGGCGTCTATTCTGAATTATGGAGATGACTGGTTCTAGTCTCGGCTCTCATATCGACAATCCTGACTTAAATTTCTCGTGGGTTTCCTCAGCCCCTCTAGGCTCTAGTACCTTGAAATAAGCAAGGACTGCTTACCTTCAAATCTTTATCAGTTCTTAATTCGTTATCCCGTCATTCGACGCTATATAATATATGCAACTGAGGGCGTCGCTAAATACGTGTAAACAACAAATGAATTATTCTGGTATGCATTATGAAGTGAGTTTAATAGTAACGTATATCTGCGGACGGGATGCTTTACCCTACATACGGCGAGATTTCCTGCGCGTGCGCACTGGAGCGGAAGAGTTGGACGCACAACCAGATAAGCCTGCCCGATCCGTTCGTTCCATCCCTCAACGTACAAAGAAAATACTTATGAAAATGTACAGTGCCATCTGTTTTTGTAAGATTTGAGGTTTTCACGGCGGTGACTATGAAGAAAGCAGTCTTCTGGGATGTGGCACCGTGTAGATGTGGTGTTAGTCAACCTTTCGGAGGAACGTATCGCCTCCATCTTCAGGGTATCAGACTAGTCTGCTTGCACCTGTTCTCACTGTCTCTTCGCTTGCAGATTTTCTTATTTTCTTTCTACCCTGAAGATGGAGGCGATTCGTTCCTCCGAAACGTCGGTTAACACCACATCTACACGGTGCCACATCCCAGAAGACTGCTTTCTCCATCTGTTTTTGTTCGTTTCAGACACGGAATGGCACCACGAGCAGCCATTGGCCTGCTTCTGCTGGTAACATCGTGCTTGGGGAAGCACAGCAGTCTCAAGGTTTGTTCTGCATCTATTTCTCATTTGCCGGAAGTCATGGGCATACATTGCATTCAGAACAAATCTTTCTGCGTGCGCAATAAATGACATTTACGAGAACTGTAAAGACGAACGGCGCCTAGGATTTGAATGACACTCATGTGAGATATGCATAACACAGCCAAGTAAATACAAAAGAATGTATTCATTCCAGTTTTTTATTCAAATAAGCAAGAATACATTTTGAATGTGAAAATATACATGCAGCCATATTGTCTCTTATCTGAATCGATATTGAATAGCACCCTCGTTTGCTTGTGTTGCGTCATAGACCTGCCGTTTTCCTTGGTCGCTTTCCGGTAGGATGTTATATTGCGTCACGAGAGGACATATGTTGAAGATTTCTTGTTGCAGTAACTCCAAGTTATGAAACGTTTCTCTATTGTTTTTGTCCATCAGGTTTCTATTTTTTTTTTCCAAATATGACAGTATAATTGATTTACATCGGAAGAATTAAGTGGGTGTTCTGTTTATTTTATACATTCAACCGTAATGTCATCAGACATTTTCAAAGAGTGAATAATGTGAGAAAATGCCAATTCTTAATATCCAGAATGAAAATATTTTAAGAGTAAAGAATCAGCCGATTTGGTGAAGTCGATTAATGCACATATTTGGGGATGTTCTATGTAAGGTAAGTTAGGATACAGCTATCGCTGCAACAGACCGTGGAGGCCAGTAAGGTTGTGAGATGTTGAGGTTCCCACATTTTCTCTGTACGATCGGCTCATAGATGGCGGTGGGGTTGTCAGCCTTACGGGCCGCCCGCCCTTTACACCCCAGGAAGATTCCTGGTATTCATTGCTGTTAGGGGCCGAGTCAACCCCAGGGCTATAGTGCGGCTGGAAGAATTAGGTGAATTAAAAAATTCTATGACCTCATTGGGAATCGAACCCGCGACCTTCCTGATTGTATATTTTATTCATATGTATATTTACATGCGCTTCTTTATGGTTCACCCATTAAGATGTCTCCATAACTCTGCAATATTTTGTTTGTTTTTTCAGACCTCTTACTACACCGCCGCTGTGGTGGAGTACAGCGCGGTTGGCAACTTAAGCGTTGACGACCCTAAACAGGTTCTCATGATGAATGCCGAAAGATATCTTGGCCACGTGAGTGAAGCCGCGAGATCTGTAAGTACAGAGACCCTGCAAATTAGGCCACACTTTTGAATGATCAGCTCACACTGAACTGGCTGAAGTCTGTGTGCGATCCCACATTCCACGGGAGTGGCAAATGAACAAACGAAACATTTCGGGGTATGAAGACATGAAGGCCGAGCCATAGCTCAGGTGGTTAGTCGCATGCTTCCCACCGCGGCGGCCCGGGTTCGAGACTGGGTCAGGTTATGTGGGATTTGTGGTGGACACAGTGGCACTGGGGCATGTTTTCTCCGAGTAGTTGGGTTTCCCCTTCCAGTCCTCATTTCACTGACTGTTCCATACTCCTCTATCATCCGGGGCTGGTACAGCAGGCTAATTACCGGCCAACGTACCAAGTTGATGCAGCTGTAGCTGTAGCTGTTCCTCTTTAGGATTCTCACCTTGCACATCTTCCTCCTGATCACTTCCTCATTGTTGCATCACCTGCTCCCTCCAGTCTCCATTGTTGAACGGGGCTAATTTCGGGAAGTTAGGAGGGTTGCTGTTTGGCGCCAGTAAGGGTACGAGAGTAGCTTGCGATCGAGATAAGTCTGTTTAGGTGAGTTATGTGGGTTAGCCGGTATGCTCAAGTATAGGTAGCGGTAAAGTTCTAGTCTCAGCTCGTAACGGGCCTCGCTCCGGCAGCACAGGGAGAACTTGTGCTAACATAATCACAGTTTCCTTCAAGATATTATTTATTGTTCACTTTGGGTTACAATGGCAGCTTAGTTACTTTCACTTGCTTAAAGAACCACTCCTTAATAGTGCGGTTGCTCTTGTATTACTTGAACCTTCAAGTAAATTCACTTTTACTTTACTAATTGAAACTTGTATACATTTTAACAATGAACAAGTTGTGACTGTGATAACGTGACGTAGGTTTACGTCCGAAAGCTTCAGAAGCCGGAAGAAGAATAAGTTTGGTAAATGAGCTCTCTAAAGTAGCGCGCTTATTCGGATCCCGAGCTCCCACAAGGAAACTCCTCCCTAAAACAGGTCTTATCGGTCTACTTCAAAATATGAGAAATTTACATTTCCCAGTGATATAAATTTGCTACGCGATTTTAGCCCTTAAAGTTTCAACTCACTTTACACAGCAGCTTGATGTGTAATCAGCTTGGCTTAGGTTCTTGGCCGCCCAAAATTATAGCTTGCACTAACTGTCAAATCGCAGATTATCAAAGACATACCGCCATAGCTAAAACAGCTAAATTCCAGGCAAAGTAGCAGCTGCTGCATCCTGTCCACGTAACAAGAATGATATTACTTTATGAATGTAAAAATGTGACCATCTGTTTACTCCGTACTTACCAATTTATAACTCGTAACTAACTTCTCTTAACATAATTTATATTAACTGTAATTCTAGTTAACAATCACACAGCCTCAATGCACCCCAGTAAATTAAAAAAAAATAATAAAATTTAAAAGGACACAAATCCCACACGTGTCGGTGGAACATGAGCTGGACACCTACTTTCGGTGGTGCATGGATTGGGCAGAAATTGCCCATTGTCTGACCGACCCACTCGGTCATATGATTTGACAGCAGCAGACTTTTCTTGTGTGGCTACAGTAAATGTATCAGCCCCGTCCACGCGCCGATGATGAATTACGGGCAGCTGTTGTACAGATTGGATATAGGTCACGTTAACGAGGACACCAGAGAATTTTCGCGAAACTGGGAAATACGCTGGGAAAAATATCTAATACAGTACACTTTGTTTCGTGTATATATGTCCATTCTTTTCTGAGATACATTTGCTGGAAAATGCGGCTGGATTCACAAATGCTTTACATGTCCCATTGGCAAGATATTCTTGGCCATTCCTGCAGAATCGCCCCCCCCCCTCCGCGTGTGCTGTGACATCTGTGACATTCATAATGCCTGAACGGATGTGGCTGGAGTTGTAACAAGCTGTTTCCACCAGATCAAAAATCACGAAATTAATTCACTAAATTCTTTTCGGAAATAAACTTTATGCAGTGCTCGAATATTGTGCTTACGTCCGTAGATCAGTAGTCTTCTCTCTCATGGGGTGAGACAACCCACTTGGTACTGCGGCCCCTGTTTTGGCGTCTGTACTAACCCCTGATGATAGATGATGATTGTGGCGCAATAAGTAGAATGTGAATTGGCAGAGGAAACCGTAGTACTGGAAGAAAACCTGCTGCAATGCCGCTATATCTACCACAAATCCCACATGACCTGACCAGGGATCGAACCCGGGCCGCCGCGGTATGAGTCCGGCGAATAACCGTCTAAACTATGGCACTGCCCATAAACCGGCAGATGAAATTTCGAGAGTTGTATCCCAGTATAATGCAATTTTTCTTTCAATTTTGCGTTTCCCTTTATTGTTTCTTGCCGCAACTCAACAGAGAATACCAACAACTGTCTTAATATTTACTCCATGGACGTAATAAGCCGCAAGGCTTCTATTAGTTATGTTTCCTCAATGGCAAATTCAGAGACATAGGGTATAATAATTTTACGAGTTCTTGTTTGGAAGCCGCACCCCGGTGGGTGTACAACTTCGTTATGTCTCGCAGTCATTTTACATCTAGGTACTTACAGCACAGAAAACAACTTTCCTTTGTTGCTTTAGAGAGAGAGAGAAAGAGAAAGAAGAAAGAAAGAAAGAGCATCGATTTAAGAAGGTTCCCAGGCTTTGCCCGCTCGTCCTTCTGGTAAGAGTAAAGTGAAAGTGTAGGCGTTAAGATGATTAGAAGCAACGACTTGAGAGAGTTGAGAGAGAGGGGCCGCGGAGCTTTTAATTTCAAAAATTTGAGTTTACGTGTATAATTTTGGTAATTTTGACAGCAAGGGACCGTAATTTTGATGAATTTAAATCGGGAGGGCTGCATGAGAAGCATGCAGTAGCAACTTGGAATTTGGGAACCATCTCAGCATTTGCTTACAAGACAGAGGAAAACCAAGAAAACCTGTGTCGAGATGGCCGGTCGCAGGACCTTCCGGATACGCACTGACTTCTAGCCAGCGGTCCGGCAGCCTTTGTTGCTGTATCCATTGTTGCTTGCGCAGCCATTGGCACGAACCGCGCAGAAAACACATTTCCGCCGTTGCCTAGCAACGGGTCTACATACCACAGTGTATTAGTGCGAATGATTAACGTGTTTGACATTATCCATGATCCTGTTTTTATCTATTTTTATTTGAAACGTTTCATAAGCTGGAAATTTTGTTTTAAATACAAATAGTACGGTAAATAATGTCGAAAATTCAGTCATCATGTGTGTGTGCATAAGCTTCAGACTTGAAGCTGGATGAATCTTAATTACACTGTGCAATTATATTGATATTGATAGTATGGTTCAAAGTTTTTGTTTCTTATCTCTCACTATAGGGGGCAGACATCATTGTCTTTCCAGAATGTGGATTGAGCACCATACACCTTCCACAAACTCGCCCTGAGATTCGCCCACTACTGACGCCAATTCCAGATCCTATACAACTCAAGAACCCATGTCTGGACTCATCAGGAGAAGTGCCTGAGGTAATTTGTGTTAGGTGTAGGTCTATTTGAATATGTGTCTAGGATAATACATTGCATATTAAGATAAAAACATGCAAAATTCTTTTACCTTAATATCGTAGATTTTATGCTTGAGCCAAAAGAGGTGACGGAATATTAATATCATACTGTTCCGTCGGTACTGATGAAGTGTGTAGAAATATCAAGAAACGTGAATTAAATTTTGGTGGAACCATTGAAAGGTGACATTTCGGAAAACCGTGAAGGATGGAGTATTATAAATAGCTGTAATTGACGTAATAGGTTTTCTATGTATATCACTAGGTAGCAGCACAGTCCAGCTTCGTGACAGTCTTGATAGCGGACGCGCATGGGCATATTCAGAGGTGGGTTTCAGTAGTCAAAATGGCGACGTGCTTAAGTGTACTGCCGAAGAGGAATGTTGTGTTGTGCTTTTTTGTGAGCAAAAGGACTCAGTTCAAAGGATATTCTTAAAGAACTATTTCCTGTTTACGGTGGGAAGTGTTTGTCGTGTAAACCGTTTCACAACTGGGTCAAGAAATTCTCTCAAGGACGGAGATGCGAAAGTGGCTGAGCCAACAGTAAAAATATTTATATGCTGCGGGTTTCGACGCACTAACAACACTATGGGACAAGTGTAGCAATGTTGGTGGAGGATATGTCGAGAAAATATTTCTTCCAGTTTCGAATATCGCATGTTTTACGTTTTATATCCATTTGTGACGTATTGACTGACTCTCCCTCGTAGGTTCCACAATTTTTATTTAGGTTTCATTGGCTCAAATTCGTATCCAGAGGAAGGATATTTTGTTTTCGGTGTTGAAATTTCGGATTCTGATACCACAGAATTTTTGGTTTTATACGTCGAGTGAAGCTTGTGGTATGTGTGTATCTGTATCTTTTAATATGGGCCATACGGTAGATCTCTCAGCACTGTATCGCAGAACGGTAGGAAACACATGAAACTCCACGGAAATTGCGTAGAATCATAAATTACAGCAATGTTGTTGCAATTATATGTAGAACACGTAAGACACGGGCATTAATGAACTTTTGTCTGTAAGTGTTGAAATATGTAACCTGGTTACCTCTTGCTTCGAGCCCCGCTTGCAGTTAACATGTTCAACGGTAAACGTAACAAAAAAGGAATATTTTATTCGAAATCCACTGATCTGAACGACTCGATAATCAGTTAGTCCGGATTATCGAGTTCTGCACTCTGATTTATCGTTGTCTTCAATAACAACGTGACGTGCTAAGGAAGGTTAATGGCGTGAAATATTTCTGAGTCAAAACTTAACGGCCGACAAAGTATTTCATGAAATACATTCAGATTTGCCTCATAGAGCAGGTTGGAACAGCGTTAAGTTATCTGCCTTGTATGAGAGGTATCTGTTTCAGGTACCAGCCCAGGATTAGCCATCTTTCCCTGGTTCTTTCATTTAAATACTACCCTACTTTAAAATCTACCCCGACTGCTTCCTTTCATATTCAGCCTTATTCCAAATTGGCAATTGTCGCATTCTATCTAATTTTTACTGTACATAACTTCAGCAGTTGATAAAGTGTTGTATAATACAGTGTGCAATTTGTAATATTCTGTCAGTGTCCATTATAAAATGTCTTACTGACTGAGGACGCTAATTATAATGCACGTTTTGCCGAAATTTCCTTCAGCTGGTAGCACCTCTTAATGCATATTTTTATGCCATCACGTCTTTTCAGAATTTTCCAAAATATTGAGGGACGCTATTCTTAATGAGTTTCGTTTTTAACAATTTCCCGTCAAATTTAAACGGGCGTTACGCCAGTGTAAAGCAACGACTAATTTCTGTTTATACGCGATGTTTAGTACCATTAGTATTTCATTTTTTTTAAGTCGCTTAGTGGGGGGGTGGAGTCCAACTGGGTCCACTTGGCACCGCGGCCACTGATTGGCCTATTGTAGCCTGCCCCGGGTGAGTATGATGATGGAGAATTTGATGGAATGAAGATTGGCAGGGGAAACCGAAGTACTCGGAGAAAACCAGCCCCAGCGCCACTTTGTCCACCACAAATCCCACTTGGCAAGACCCGGGATCGAACCCGGGCCGCCGCGTTGGGAAGCCAGCGACTAACCACTTGAGCTATGGCGCGGCCATTGTGTACCATTAGTATTTAAATCAATGATGGGTTGAACACGAACTGAAGGCATAAAATACCGTTACAAACTGGTTTTCTTAGGTAAGAGGGGTGAAGGAGTCTTTTTGGGAGGAGGTATTTAAAAGATCGAAAACTAGTTAGAAAGATTGTGGGCATGAGAGGTGAAAGGAACTGACTCAAGGTTGTGTCCAGTGGCGATATTTTCTTTTTGCTCTATTGAACATTTCGATTCTATTATCAGGCAGTTAAGGTTAGGTCACACAGAGCTCTACGCTATGTTCGCTACGTACGCTGTGTACACTCTGCGACGCAGATAACATAAGGAACATAGCGTACGTAGCGTACGGAAGTCTGTGTGATGAGTCACATTGGCAATAAAGGGAGATTTTTTCTGTTCGTATAGCGAACATAGCGTACGTAACGTGCATCGCGTACGTAACGCTCTGTGTGGCCGAACCTTAGACAAACGCCCAAGCACTTTAGAGGGCCATCAATATGTACGCCATCCTGAAATACTCTTTTCAGGTCCTGAGCTTCTTGGCCTGCGCGGCACGCAATCACAGCATATACGTCGTGGTGAACCTACCAGAAATTGCACACTGCGCAGGTGCAGATTGCCCCTCAGACGGTGCGTTTTTCTATAACACCGACATAGTCTTCGACAGATCGGGTACACTCATAGCAAGGTGAGTGCCAGAACTGCCTTCCTCACGTCCCAGTTTCGACATGCCTACATCTATCGTCAAGCACACTGGTATAACGGCGAAACTGGTAGCTGTACTCGGTTTGAACCTCAGACAGAGAAGTAGATGTAATTCTTTCAGACTGATACCGGCGTAGCACCCTGGAATATCGTATTAGCCAGAATAAAAGGCGATAATGTTTTTTATGTTGATTCTTAGACGTGTCGCCTTATTTTCGGGCCCTTAAAAATAAATACGGTTCTAGCGATATTTATGAAAACATTGAAAATTGTACAGTATTTAAAATATGAAGTTTCATATTCATTATTACCTATCAGTAGGTCTGGGGGGCACGCGGTAGCGTATTTGGTTGAGGCACTATGCTAGAAGCCGGCAGGTTGTGGGTTCGATTCCCCATGAGGTCATTGAATTTTTCATTTCACCTAATCCTTCCATCCGCACTCTGAACCTGTGGTCGACTCAGCCTCTAACAGAAATTAGTACCATGAATCTTCCTGGGGGTAAAGTGCGGCCTGTGAGTAAGGCTGACAAACTTACCACCATCTGTGAGCGGATTTTCTAGAAGATGTGGAAGCCTAGACGTGTCACAGCCCTATGGGCCTTCACGGCCTGTTACATGGATAGTTTTACTTTTGTTTATGCTTACAACCATCAGAACTGAAATATTCAGTTTTGTCGAAAGTACAGCTATAATGATTGCAGTAGGATTTCTATGTGTATCACTAGGTAGCAGCAGAGTCAAGTTTCATGACAGTCTAGATAGCAGACGCTCATTTGCATGTTCAGAGGCTGGTTTCAGTAGTCAAAATGGCTCTAGCGTGATTGAGGGTGTACGATGTACTACCGAAGAGAAGCGTTCTGTTGTGCTTTTTTTGTGAAGAAATGGACCCAATGCAAAAACTATACCTCATAAATCACTCCCATCAGTAATACTAACACTGAAGTCTCCCAGATTGTATTGTTCTGTTGATTTTATTGCGCGTGCATATCAATTTTTTTTCTATTCTGGTCATATCGGATACACAAATTGTAGTGAAAGGAAAGTAGGCGATTAATGCATACCATAACTTCTTGGTAATGCTGAAGACCATACCGTCTGTTGTCCATTGCACGTGGATAATGTAGTGCAGTGTGCTGCATAACGTTACTACCATCAGGTGTTAATATAGACGCGATTTGGATTGGCGACTCGATTTACTGACCACTTATAGACTCACGACTCGGAGCTGCTAGCAAATACAGCACCACCGATAATCTCCACAGCACACGCTAACCCTTTCCAGCCATGAGTGTCTTCATCCGCCGTTCCCTGGTTACCTGTCTGTCTGTGGCTCTACAGCCCTCTGTTGGGCCTTGGCCACTTTTTCTATTTCGTAATCTTCTACACAGTCAGTAGGACTCCTTGGACTGGGGGATCAGCCCGTCTCAAGGATGCACAACAGGACAGCACAAAGACAGAATAAACACACAGAGACATCCATGCCTCAAGTGGGATTCGAACTCACGATCCCAGTGTTTGAGCGGACGAAGGCAGTTTATGCCTCAGACCGCGCGGCCAATTTCTTCGGTTGGCGTCTCAAACATCTAAGACAAATCAAAGAAGCGAAATGCTGTCTTCACTGATAAATACTGAGTGAATACAGGAGTGGAATGAAATGTATGGCATTTAAACCTCTCAGAAGAAGCCAGCAGTGTTCTGTAAATTGAACAGAATGTCCTGGTACTTAGGTTACGTTAATGCATTCCCTGTGTGGTAGTAATATGTGTTGACACCAGTAGTCCTGGTCTGACCATAAGCAGTTTGTGTTACCATTCAGTTCTCTTCCATCATTGACCGCATGTCTCACTGTGTCGTGCGCTTTACGTAAACCGAGCACTCCAGCTCAGTGCTAGTTGAGAGCATGCGACCACGGAATTTCCGTGAGAACTGCGTTCTTTTCTAAAATCCGGACGAGTAATGGAGCGAATTCAGGACGAAGGTAACAATATTCTGTGTAACTGCCAGGTCTCTCCAGTTCACAGGGAAGCAAACTTATAAATATGGACTTATGCAGTGATTCTAAGTAGCCTTAATTGACTAATTGGACCTCACCAAAACGTGTCTGTATCCAAAATCTAACCGCTTACATCACGAATGAGACTATGATACTGTCACGTAGTATGTGTGTGACTATAGACGGGGTTTGGATTGTTGAGTACATTTAGTGACTACCTGCATGTCGCAACTATAAATACCTATAACACTGTCGCTGATTCCCACACTTTACAAATCACTACACACTAAGTCCTCTATAGCTTGCTACTAGACGTCTCCTGGTAACGGCTTCTAACAGTGGAGATTCTTCAGCTCACATCGTTACTGAATGTCGAATATCTCGCAGCTCAATTCGGTTAGTCAGTCAGATTTACTTTACGACTAAGGGTTTACCTCCAGTCTTTTTTTCGTGGCACCAAGCCCCATGAGACCCACCACCAGTATTTTCAATTTCAACTGAATACTTATGGTGGTCCTTATGTAACATCCACTCTGACGAGAGGATGGATCTGTCGTTTACAATTGCCGTTGGATCTCGCCAGCGCAGTGATTCTCGAGTCTGAGTCCCGCGGGACTCATGGCCACATTTTACCGTCTCAGATTCGAGACTCACCAAACCTGGAGGGCCAGGTCCCCGTATTTATATCCTCCGGGAACAGGGTGGCCCGGTTATGCCCCAGGTACAGGAAACCTTTTCCTTCGCCTCCAAAGACTCGTATCCACACGAAGTTCAAGTCATGTGCCCCACTTCTCTTATGTAAAACTCCTCGGCGCGGACCGCGTAGACAACGTCACTTTTCCCCCCGTTACATGCGTAACCGCTGCCGCTGGAACATGTTTACCGAGCCGCTCCTTATAACTGCCCAACTCACGATCGTTTCCTAGCAACAGCTATACACTGCAAACGAGATAGTGTTTCGCGTGGGAATACCGGCCTTGTATAGATATGGCGTGTGACAAGTACAGTGAAGATAATGTGTTCTGCTGTCAGTATCAAGTATGCCTTCAGATTTGTTTGAAGTTCGATAAAATGAGTGAAAGAAACACGTCCCACGCCCCACCATCTGAAGCAACTTAAACTAGGCCATGCTCTTTGCTTCTGGTGCTGAAGGAACACAAGACTGGAACACAGCCTTGTGGGGCGTGATATCATGTGCTTGTTACACAGAAGTGAGAGCCTGTTGTCTCCGTCTTCAGGGTAGAACAGTCTTATACACTATCTTATTAATAGAAATTACACAACCTTTCTCAAAATTAAAACAAAAGGCATTGTGAGGAAACCGCTGAAAGAATTACAACACATCCAGTCGGTAAATACAGCTGGTAATGACATTTCTTATATCGGGTACATACGAAATTCTACTTACGAGCTTCCAAGAAACAATCAATTCATATTTATGAGCATTGCACTGAGTAATAAATTGCTATTTCCAGAACACCTCGCGTACGAACACTTTAATGAATTAACATCGCCAGATTTAACCTATATCTTATGAAAAAAATAAATTCGACTAACGAACGTTCAATTTACAAACACATTTTAAAGAAACATTATGTTCGTTAAATTGTGGTTCACCTGTTAGAAGTGCTGTACATATACACGTAGATAATATTAATGTTATCCTGTCAACTCAGCACCATTTTCAGCAGATGGAGTTGTTGCCTAGGACAACCCTAAATGCTGAAATCAGCGCTGTGTTGACAGGAATAAAATAAATATTATTTGTGGAGATTTACACAACAGGATGCAACGAAATGTAATTGAATTTTATAGAAATACGGCTTAAAGCCAAAGAGGAAACAAGCCAGAGGTTATTATAAGGTTATTATAATATGAAGAAATTATGGATCCATATTTGAACAAAAATTTAGCAAGAATATAAACTGAGCTACACATCATGATGTGTGTGAACATGTGTTCAACATTAATGTAAATAACATTGTTATACTCCTACATGTATTGTTGTGTTGACGAAATATGAGCTATTTACATGCATTAGTGGCACCTGTGGCAGGTACCGGAAATACAACCTGTTTGGAGAACCAGGGTTCAACTTGACTTCCACAGCCGAAATATCAACCTTCAACACAGATTTCGGGGTCCGATTTGGCATGGCCACCTGTTTCGACATCTACTTCCATGACCCTATAGTGCAGCTTGTGCAAGAGCTGGAAATTACGGACATAGTCTTCCCGGTTGCATGGTTCTCCGAACTGCCCTTTCTGACCGGTGAGTGATATGCACATAGCTTAAGAGTAGCCTATACCACCCCATCCTATTTCTCTGAGATCCATTTTAATATTATCCATCTACCTACATCTTGGTATTCCCAGTTGTCGCCTTCCTTCCGGTTTTCCAACCAATATCTTATATGCATTCCTCTTATCCCCCATTCGTGCTACATTCCCTGCCCACCTCATCCTCTTTGACTTGATCATTCTAATTACACTTGGAGAAGAGTACAAGTTATGAAGCTCCTCATTACACAGTTTTCTCCAACCTCCTGTCACTTAATCCTTCTTCGGTCCAAATATCCTCCTCAGCACCCTCTGTCTGTTTGATAATACAGACCTGTAGGACTATATGTCCGCATAATCATCATCATCATCATCATCAGTGATCTGACAGACGACAGGTCCACAGTCTCTTCCAAAACAATTCCTCCACCTAATGCGATCTAGAGCTTTCTCCTTCAAATGATAGTATCCTCTTCTGCCCCTAAGGTCATCCAGCATATAGGTCCGCATATAGGTCTGTATTTACATAATTACAGAAACCGGAAATGTACGGCATGCACTATTTCAAATCTGAAGCTGCTTTTGTTTGTTACAGCCATACAGATTCAAGAAGGCTGGTCTCGAGCTCTGGACGTCAACTTGCTCGCTTCCGGGTATGACGATCCCGCTAACCGCAATGGAGGAAGCGCAATATATGCAGGGAAACTTGGCAGAGTGGCAGCAACCATGCCGCTCTCTAAGACTAGCAAACTGCTAATAAGCCAAGTTCCTAAGAAAACGAGGGGATTGTTCGGAAATAATTCACCTGGATTTTCCGGGAGCACAAACATACCTCTGGAACAAAACAGACCTTCAAATATTCCATCAGAGAGGTTATTCTTCACAGACTATCTCGCACCTTACACCACGCAGCTTCTAGAAACAACTGCCACTCGCGCGGAATTATGCAACAGGGAGCTTTGCTGTCAGTTTGATGTCAGGACGGAAGGGATTCCACGTGACCCGTATTCGGCTTCTTACAGACTGGCCGTGTTTAACGGCATTCGTCCATTTTTTGGCGGAAAGACTGGAGGAATTCAAGTGTGTGCTGTCATCTCATGCAATAACATGAGCCTCTCTTCATGTGGACAGCCAATAAGTACAACAAAGAAACTGACAACGTTTAAATTCATCAGTATACAAATCAATTCCAGCCGTGTTAACTCAATTCATATGCCAAGTACTCTGTTGAAATCAATATTGCCCCTCGATGTAGATTCATATGAGCTGACGTCTAGAAATGTTACTGACAAACTAACACATATTCATCTTCGTACAACGAAGAACATTCGTAACTTGTGGACATTTGGTATTTACACAAGGGAATATGATTTAGACGGACTTCCCTTCACAGCTGCCACGTAAAAGCTAGGGCCGTAAATTAAATAATTTTTTTTTACTTCTCGTGTGTGATGCCGTGTAGCCCAATAGAAATTTACTGACGTTTCAGAGGAAAGTACACGCAAAAGAAACAGCAAACAAGGGAATTCCGAGACTTCGGTGCCACAATATATTCAACATTCTAACATACAGGATTACTGGTGTTTTTGGACTTTTTCCATCGTTCGGTATTCTAGAGATTAGAAAACACGATGGATCTGTTTCCATCTTCAGGTGAGAGTGGACGGAAAGACACCTACTCAGTTGGGTAACTTAGAAAGAGCTAACTTCAATCACTGGTCCATCGTCAGAACCCTTTAGATTGTACTTATGACATAATTGTGTAATACGTGGTCTTGCAATTAAGTTCCCTAACTTGTGTGAAAAAGGAAATCAAAAACTGCTCTTATTCTCATTCGGACTAATCTCCACCTACTTGAATACGTTTGTTGCATATTTTAAATATTTTTTAAATACTCAACAAAGGCCTCCAAAGAAACAGCGTTCAGTTCGGCCGTCACGCTTTCCTTAATGCCTTCAACATCGTGAAGTTTTCCTCACAGGAAGGCGAAAAGACCCGCCGGCGCGATATCATGAGACCTGCATGAGTGTGGGTGGCTTGTCTCCACAACGCGTCTTCACTGCCAGTGCGGAATAGGAAAAGCCATTGTCATGGAGCAAGAATCAAATGCCCCCTTGTGCTCAAAATTGTGGCCTAACCCGGCAAATGAGCTTCAGCAATTTCCTGATGACATCAACTGTTGACGGTCTGCCCTTCAGGCATAAATTCTTTATTAACCACACCCTGTTTCTCAAAAAAATAAAATAAGCTGCAGCACCCTTCTGTAGTTCTGTATGCAGCCGAGAGAGCGCAGTAGGTATAGCGACAACCCCGACGGCCGCAGTTTGATATTCTGCAGGGGCAAGAGAATTTTCCTTACTCTAG